GAAATGCCGAGACAAAGAAACAGGACACAAACGACAGAATTGGAGGAAAGCAAACTGCTGCATATAGAGTTCAAAACCACACTTTTAAGGTCTTCAAAGAACTGTCTAGAAGCCGCCGATAAACTTAATAAGGCCCTCAAAAAGACTGGTGAGACCGTCGATAAATGTAGTGAGATCTTCAAGAAGACTGGTGAGACCGCCGATAAATGTAGTGAGATCCTCAAGAAATCTAATGAGACCCTCGATGTTGTGATAAAGGACCAACTAGAAATTAAGCATACACTGACTGAAATAAAGAACATTATACAGACTCCCAACAACAGACCAGAGGATCGCAAGAATCAAGTCAAAGATTTGAAACACGAAGAAACAAAAAACACCCAACCGGAAAAGCAAAATGAAAAAAGAATCCAAAAATACGAAGATAGTGTAAGGAGCCTCTGGGACAGCTTTAAGCGTACCAACATCAGAATTATAGGGGTGCCAGAAGATGAGAGAGACCAAGATATTGAAAACCTATTTGAAGAAATAATGACAGAAAACTTCCCCTACCTGGTGAAAGAAATAGACTTACAAGTCCAGGAAGCGCAGAGAACCCCAAACAAAAGGAATCCAAAGAGGACCACACCAAGATACATCATCATTAAAATGCCAAGAGCAAAAGACAAAGAGAGAATCCTAAAAGCAGCAAGAGAAAGAAAATCAGTTACCTACAAGGGAGTACCCATATGACTGTCAGCTGATTTCTCAACAGAAATTTTGCAGGCCAGAAGGGAGTGGCAAGAAATATTCAAAGTGATGAATACCAAGAACCTACAACCAAGACTACTTTATCCAGCAAAACTATCATTCAGAAGGGAAGGCCAGATAAAGAGCTTCACAGATAAGAAAAAGCTAAAGGAGTTCATCACCACCAAACCAGTATTATATGAAATGCTGAAAAATATCCTTTAAGAAGAGGAAGAAGAAGAAAAAGGTAAAGATACAAATTATGAACAACAAATACACATCTATTAACAAGTGAATCTAAAAATCAAGGGAATAAATAATCTGATGAACAGTATGAACTGGCGATTGTAATAGAATCAGGGACATAGAAAGGGAATGGACTATTCTTGGGGGGGGGAAGGGGGTGAGGGAAGAGATTGCACAATAATCGTGCACCTATGGATGAGGACAGTGGGTGGGGAGTGAGGGCGGAGGGTGGGGTGGGAACTGGGTGGAGGGGAGTTATGGTGGGAAAAAAGAGTAACTAATGTAATAATCTGAACAATAAAGATTTAATTAAAAAACAACAACAAACAAACAAAAAAAAACAAAAACAAAATCTCAGGACTTAATAGAAAGAGTGCTATGTGAATGCACAGCTCCGCCTCACACAACCTGATCTCAAACCTCTCTGCCGCAGGTCACAGCCAAAAAATTGTGGATGCTTTTTGTTCAGTGCCCATGTGATACTTTACAGGAGAGAATATTCTAAGTCTTACACTATTTATATCAAAATGTCCGGTTTCCCCTTCATAGGATGGGATTTGTTAGTATATTAAGTCTCACTAAGTTGGATGCACTATTTGCTTTAATAACTGAGACAGGTCTCAAAACACTGACTAGCAACTAAAGTTGCATCTCTATGGGTTGCCCATGTAAAAGGGGGTGAGAGTGTAGGGGTTTTGTGTGGTGTGGGGGGCACTAGCATTTATCAAACATGTGACAGGGCCTCTGCTAAATGAATTATATGCATTTTCTCATTTAACTTAAAGCAACCCCAAGGGGCAAGATTTATCACCATTTCACAGAAGATTAAACCAAGGCCTTAGATTACTGGCAAGGGTCACAAAATGGTTAAGAGACCAGCCACATGCCTACTCATGGGTCCCTTGCTGGGCAGCTAGAGAATACAGAATATTCTGTTGCATAGAACTTTTTAGGATTCTGCCAAGGTTCTGCATGACCATTTCTTCTTTCTGTACCAGGAGGGAAGATTCTTAAACACCTGCAAAGCCAACACTGTTGCTGGCCCACTGCCAACGAGAAGCCAAACACAGTTTCTTCATACTATTCTAAGACTGCTATGGTTTAAATAACAGGCATTATACCAAGTGGGCTCACTAAGGTTTTGTGGGGAAAGAGTTATTTTCCAGCGCTAATAACACCTTTGCTCTGTTCATGAGTATACTTTGGGCAGATCAAAATCATATGGGGGTCCCTACCCAGGTTCACTAACATTTCCAAACAGATCTCTCTGTAAGGACTTGTGTTGTTGGGTATTTTATCCCATGTTGCCAAAAGAGAAGACTGTTCCGAATTAGTTTGACCAGGCAGTGATAAGCATTTTTATGAGACACACACTAAGTGGGGCAGAGAGAGCTGTCCATTCCGTATTGTCTGTCACTAACCAGTGTGTCTGCTGGAGGAACCCCATCATGACCGAGGTTCCAGGCAGGACTGTGCCATTCCTTTAAAGAACTCTCTGAAGTACAGCTGGTGGGCTCAGTGGTTGAGCATTGACCTATGAACCAGGAGGTGATGGTTCGATTCCCAGTGAGGGCACATGCCAGTGTGGGGTGTGTAGGAGGCAGCCAATCAATGATTCTCTTTCATCATTGATGTTTCTATTTCTCTCTCTTTCTCCCTTCCTCTCTGAAATCAATAAAAACATATTTTAGAGAGAAAAAAAAAGAGCACTCTGAATACAGCCATTTGTCGTTTGTAGGAACATTTCAGAGGTCCCAGGATCATTCCTTCAGTGAAACCAAGTCACCATCAATATGGTGATTTTCCCCCATTACAGTAATTTCTAACCAAATTCTATTTTCCTTTTCATCTCCGTCATCAAGTATGGGCAAGCTGTCCATAATGACAATGAATTTCAACCTTTTAATCCCCACTGAGTAACATGAAGAATTAGATTACTCCCCCTCAGCCCTGCTTCTTCATTCTTGGCTATAAAGACAGTTTTGGAAATGACAATCTGTCTACAATCTGAATGAACTGACCACGTCTCCACCTTCCCACACCCAGCAGGGTGAGATAAAAGAACAGAGAAAGACGGGGAAGAAAGAATGATGGGAATGTTTATTGAGACTGAAATGGAACATTGTTCTCTTTGATGAATTAACAGCACAGTGTGTTAAGAGGTCAGTTACAAACGGACTCCAAAATAAGGATGGCCCGCAGTTCATGAACAGCTCTGCAACTCTGGTGCCTCAAATCGGAGAAACCTGCCAAGGGGGTAGAACCATTCAACCTAAGATAAATTACCAACTCAACTGCATTATATTTAGATTGACTTTCTATAAACAATACCATTCTTTGCATTTAAAAACTCACATTGAATTACTGGTTCATATCTATGATGTTTACTGGACAATTCAGTATCATGCTCCTGTAGACTGCAGGTGCAGGTGGTCCACACTGAGCATGTATTCAAGTCTCCATGCTCTTTGGCACAATTCTGGTTTCTTACTAGGTAAATACGAAAGCACAGGCTTAAAGTGGCTACTCAGTACTGCAGAAGCACAAGTATTTTGGATCTCAGTGTAAATACAAAAGTCATGTTAAGCATTATTTACAAGATGTGAGCTGAAGCACAGACTTCAATAAGATATCTTCATAAATTAGCAGGAGAATGGCAAATGATGGATTTTAACAAGCAGGGCCAAGATCACTAGACTGCTAGTCGGTTAGAACAATCCTCTCTGGAGGAAGAGACAAGTGCCACACGAGTGAAGGATTTTCCTGAACCACTGATCCCAAGGTCTCAGGTTGTGGGAGTTACTCTGCAAGAATCCAGGGCAGGGATAGTTCTTTTCTGGGCAATGTGGCTTGTTCAACCTATCAAATTCGTATTGAAATACAAGTTATCTGGTAGCTTGCCACTGTTGCTTGGGCCCTGATGGGTACAAAAGGGCAAAGTACTATCATTTTTAAGTGGGCATTACTAACCTTGGAAGAACGAAGCCTTACAGTTGGATAAAGACACATCCAGCCTTATGTGAGTGACATCTTCGAACATAATCTCACACAGAGCTGATATGATTCCCTCCCAACAGAATTTAGAAGGTGTAACGAATGTCTATGCCACATCAGAATATCACCATAACACATCTCTGCTTTGGGGCAGAAATGATCAAACAACATGATTTCTCAGTCTAGTGCTCCTGGGAGAGGAGTTCTGATAAGCCCCAGAGTAGGTCTGGATTAGAATCATAGTTCATATTCAAGTATTAGGAGAGCTCTTTATTTCACATTGACTGTTCCACTCTGATCTCTGTCTGGCAAATTATATGAAAATAATATATACATATCTATCTATCTATATATATATAAAACCCTAATATGCAAATAGACGAAACTGCGGACAACTGAACAACTGTTCGCTATGACGTGCACTGACCACCAGGGGGCGTGCGCAGAACATGGTGGGTGTCGGCCACAGCAGGATGGTGGAGCAGGTGAGCAGGGGCACCAGACCAAGGCGGGGCGCTGGTTGCTATCATCAGGGTGAGCCTCTGGTGGTTATTGAAAATTTTTTGCTCCTGTGCGCCGCAGTCCCGCCTGGCACTCGCACCCACTGCTGGTGATGGCCCTGCTCACACCCACTGACGGCACGCAGCAATTGGGGCTGGCACCAGCAGCAGGTGCCGAGGGACTGGCGCCATCAGTGGGTGCGAGCGGTAGCTGCTGGCCCTAATCGCCCTTGAGGGCTTCTCTCCCTGCTCCTGAGGGGTGATCTGGGCAGCAGCTGCCGCTCGCACCTGCTCCTGGCACCAGCCCCAATCACTCCATGCTGTCAGTGTGTGCAAGCAGGGCCAGCACGGTCAGTGCGTAGGAGCGGCAACGGCGGGAGTGGAGCTGCGTGCGGAAAGAGGACTGGGGGTCACGGTGGGAGGGGTTAGGCGGAGCCATGAAGGATGGGCCAAGACCTGCCCCTGTGGCCACCGCAGCCTTGTGGCCCACAGTTCCTTTCAAGGTGCACGAATTCGTGCACTGGGCCCCTAGTATATATATGTGTGTGTGTGTGTGTGTGTGTGTGTGTGTGTGTGTGTGTATAGTTCTACACTGAACACTGGGTTAGGTTAATAGTTACCAGTGTCCCAATACAGTACATTGAAAAAAGGATTTCCCTTCCCCCCAAACCTGACATTCATCTTAAAACTGTTATTGCAGAACTGTGCTGATCTGTTTTCTTTCAAAGAAGTTTCTTTGAAATTGGCTGGAGATGAGTTCAAAATGGACAATTTGGCACATTAACTAGAGAAGAGGGATGGTTTGGATGCATTAAAATCTATAAAAAATGTGAGACGTCAAAGGAAATCCATGCCATAGAAAGCCTGAGTAAAAAAGTTGTAGTCACTGACAGAATAGTTTTTTAAAAACCCCAAACACTGATGTGTGCGTGAGAAAGCAATTGCGCTTTCACATCTGTTACCTAATTCCAACAGCTGCTATGTTATATACTTCTAAACTTCGTCTCTTGTAGAATTTTAAAACTCCAGATAATATAGCTTGCTTTTTCATCAATTTCCTTTTCTCTTACCCCACCCCCAAGTCCCAGAACATAGAGAGCAAAAGTTCTGAATCCAAATATAGAAAGTAATTTGGAGGTCTGTGTATCAGGTCAAATGTACAATTGGCCATTAGTGTTCTTCTTTTCCTTAATGTTTGAATTCGCTAAGAGATGTCCTTCATCATTCCCAGTCACCTGAAGCCAGGGCTCTAGAACTGTGAGGTCTGGGTGAATGAGATGGCGTCAGATCTGTCGATGGCAAAGCCTCCGTTGACATAGGACTTCTTGGCGTCTGAGTCTTCATTATCGAGTGTTGTGGTTTCCACAGCAAAGGGGTTCGAGAAGTTGACGTCAGATGCAACACTCATCTGCTCCAGCTCCTTCTTAGAGAGCTTCTCCACGATGCCCGTCCCAAAGGCATCACCAAGGACGTTCACCATGGTCCTGAACCGGTCCCTGGGGAAGGGAGAGGGTGAGTCAGACAGGAGGCCCAGATTTCATTTCCCTGGCCATTGGAGAGAAGAAAGGACCTGAAGTGTTGAGTTACAAGTTAAGCAAATGCAGAAAGTGCTGTCCTCATGGCTGGCTGACCAGAGGCTCCTCTCCTCACAGGCCTGGAGCAGAAGTTGGTTTATAAAGGGGACAGAATGAGCAACCCAGCTCCCCCAGGCCTGTGCTCCCAATAAGTCACAGTGACTCCCCAAACTTCAGCACCAATTTACCTGAATTCCCTCTTTTCTTCCCAAAGAAATGGGAATAGCATTCACAGATTATTTTGGGACAGTCAAAATTCCATAAATCTTTCACCCCTAACTTCTGTTTTGTGAACATTTCCGGGTTCTCTTAGCTAAGCTGAGAGAACTTGGATGTTTTGTGGGTGGCACATGGTATGTGTCCAAGTGTTCTTGTGTTTGTGTGTCCCTGGTGTACTTATTTCTTTACCACACCAAGCCACTCCATGAATAAGCCAGCAGGGATGCCACAGATCGCAGGGTCAGAAAACCAGGTTTGCCTGGGAATGTCTTTCTCTTTGAGGCACCCCCAGCTAGTCTTTACTCCCAAACAGCCTGGAGAAGAGGCTGAAGGCAGGAAGCTGTGTAGAAAGAGAAGGCATCCTGGTGAGAGGATGCTAGAGCACTGTTGGTAGAAACTATGTACATGAATATCCTTATGAAAACTACACCTGCAGGACAGAAAAGGCCAACAGTGCTTACACATGTCCACTCTGGATGCCCTGCTGTTATACAGAACAAGGCTATGGGTTGAACTAGACCCTAGAATGGACCATGGATCAGACTAAACCTTTGACTTTTCTGGGATTTTGGAGTGAAGGTCATCAATTCCAGGAAGAACCAGGGAAAGGAGAGAAGTGCAAATCCACCAACACCATTGGAAAAATTGAAGCATTCGCCTCAGTGGTTGGGTACCTTTGCAAGAAAGGTGCCACCTCAGTAGGGCTTTGTAGAACCAAGTAGCCACTAAGGGGAGCCCACATGGCACAGCTTCCCTGTGCAGGAGCTTCTGCCTTCAGGGACATGACTGTATCTTCACACCCACATGGAATGTTTCCCTTTCCTTAGCTGCCACTTGCAAACTGCACACCACTGGACTCCCCAGTAAGCCTGGCTGGCTCTGAGTGAAGGCTCGCTAAGGAGCTACACTTACTCCTGATGGCCAGGGGACAGAGACCTCGATGCCAGATGATCAATGCACAACGTGGGTATTAACCAAGGATAGAGGTGGAATCAGGCTTGTTCTAACTTTAACCTTCAGGGTCACAAAAGGCACATTCTTAACCTTACCCTGAACATACCACAGATGCTCTGCTGTGTTCCTTAGCCGTGTGTGTGTGTGTGTGTGTGTGTGTGTGTGTGTGTGTGTGTGTGTGAGAGAGAGAGAGAGAGAGAGAGAGAGAGAGAGAGAGAGAGGGGATTATTGGCTTGAATGGTCTAACTTATTCTAGTTATAACAAGACTTGCCTTTTATTGAGCACATACTGCTTCCAGACACCGTTTTAGATCCCCCACATTAGCTCACTCAGTCCTTAAACCAACCCAATGAGATAGACGGGATCTTTTCCATCTTACAGATAATGCAACAGGACCTCAGAGAGGTTAAGGAACTTAAGGTCAAAAACCAGTAAGACACTGATGAGGGATTCAAACCCAAGTCAGTCTTATTGCAAAGCCTTTGCTTGTGCCACTGCCCCTGGTGGTCTGAAGCTGGGAAGATAGGCTGATTTTGAACTAGGTGGTCTGAACCTATGCTGCTGACCTAGGGCTGGGATAGGCCAGGGTGGCCTATGGGGTTTGGAATGTCTGGGGCCTTGCCTACCTTCTTCACTATATCGTTTTGTGTTTATCTTGTCCAATGCCAGGCTCTTAACCTTGAGCATTTCCAGGTATAATGAGCTAGTAGAGATCATTGGCTTTTTTAAATCACTGCTTGAAGTTACGAGGAGTTAATTTTTAACCACATTATCAGATAGCCTGGTCAGAGGGAAATGAAAGCAGCAACAGATGGCTCATTAGGCAATCTGAAGAGAGAATGATGACAGACTGCAGATTCTGCAGCACTTTATTCCAACTCACAGGAACCAGTCGACAGCGATGATCAGGGTGACATCCTCAGTGGGCAGGCCCACAGCACTCAGCACGATCACCATGGTCACCAGGCCAGCCTGGGGTACACCCGCAGCTCCGATGCTGGCAGCTGTGGCTGTGACACTGTAGCCAAAACACACCAGCACGAAAGGAGTTAGACACCCATTTCTTCCTTCAGGGTTCCTGGCCCGAAACAGTCCCAATGGCTGTTACTGCTGTGTCCCCAAAGTGGCCAGTCAGAATCTGTTATCTGCTGAGCACCAGCTCTGCCTTATTAAAGGGCTGTGGGAGACTGAGGAGAGTATGGTCTTCTAGCCGTGGTCGGCAAACTGCGGCTCGTGAGCCACATGCGGCTCTTTGGCCCCTTCAGTGTAGCTCTTCCACAAAATACCACGTGCGGGCGCACATGTACAGTGCGATTGAAACTTTGTGGCCCGTGCGCAGAAGTCGGTATTTTGTGGAAGAGCCGGTATTTCGTGGAGGAGCCACACTGAAGGGGCCAAAGAGCCGCATGTGGCTCGTGAGCCTCGGTTTACCGAGCCGCAGTTTGCCGACCACTGTTCTAGGGGAAATAGGGCAAACCACTCTAATGCAAGGACTGCATGAGGCACACAACATGCAAGAGATATATTTAAGAGGAAGGCAAGTGTTTACCAACTGGGGTGGGTGACTATCTACCCATCCCTCCTGAACAAATGACAAATGTCTCTCCACCTACTTCTGTCTACTCACCCATCATGCATTTAATGAGAATCTAATATGTGCCAGGGATTTATGTTGCCTTGAAGGATAGTAGAGGGATAGTGGTATGGATAGATGGACAAGGGCATTTTAGGTGAAGCTAAAACCTCAAGTGTTTGAGGTTTTATTCACTTTCTCAACATCATAAGACTCTTGACATCTCTGGCAGATGCCCTTTAGGGCACTGACTTGAGAAATAGCTGACTCCTGTCCAAGGTATAAGCGTTCATTCCTGACTGCTCCTTTTTGCCAGTGGATGCTCTTTGTACAAAAGAAAGGTCTGGAATTCAGGAGAGGCAGTCATGTGAACTTTGCTAAGTATTTAAAAAGATCCCTCTTGGGCAGATAAAATGTGGCACATCCCTTTGGAATGTACAGTTTTTCATCAGCAACTTCCTAAGTCTGGTCACTTTGGAGGAAACAAGGGCTCTCCTCCGGTCCTGAAAAGTTCCTTGATTTGAGTCAGCTTGAAGGGGACACCCACGACATTTTCTCAGACACGTCCTTACTCTCGGCTAAAGCCTGAACTGTCTCCAGGATGTCACTGAGTTGAAAAGTAAAGATGCAGAAACTGCCTATTTAGACAAGAAGAATCCCCGATTCAAGCCACAAATCCATATTCTTGTGAGTTCATAAAGCCTCAGAGTTCCTACAAAGCTGATTCCAGTGCCCATTCATCTGCCCAGTGTGGGTCACAGGTGGTGTTTGAGGGTATGGTTAAACTCAGGCCAGAATTCTTAGACAAGTAAGTTTTTTCTTAGTGGCTATGGCCACCCAATTTCTAGTAAGTTAGAGATTTCTGGGGCTGTCCCAATTCCTCTCAAAGTTCCAGGCCTGCACAATCCTTTGGATCTGTTCTGACTTAAGTATTTGTTGTTAAATTCAAGTTTGTCTCAATGCTGGTTGAAAAAATTTAAACTGACCGCAATGATGGATTTTCTTTGTCAGAAGTAGTAGGTGCCCATGTCCACTGCTCCTTCTTGGAACCCCCAACACATCACTGTTAACCATGGGGTCACTATAGCCTGAGGCTGGGCTTGAGATTCAAAATCCATTTAGTTAAAACTCTGCTCTTTGACCTTGACCTTACTTTACTGGACTTTAGCTATCTAATTGACTTTTGTCTGAAGTATAAATCTTCAGATAGGTGGGAAAAATTTTACTAATAGCTGCCCTTAGGCAAGTTACTTCTCTGAATCTGTTTGTCACCTATAAGATGGAACTAATGTGTTTACTTTGTAGTGCTGCTGTGCAGATTCAATGAGGTAACACATTTAAGGCACCCAGCACAGCACCTGGATCTAGTAGATTCTTAAAAACTGATGCCACTTCTGCTACGTCAGCAGCTGCTGCTATTGCTTCTACTACCAGTGGTAGTATTATTACTACCACTACAAAAACTATCACTGCTACTTTTTCCTCCAAGCTCTTTCTGGGCCCCAAATTCTATAATTACCTTTCATTATAAGAAAATGTATCCTACTTTTAATCAGTTATAACCTTTGATAAATGAATGTTATGAGAAAACCACAACAGGGTGTGTTTTGGGTAGATGGTGCTTACATTTTTTTGATGTCCAGTCCAAAATGGCCAGAGAAAGAGATAAACTATAGGTCCCCAAATCTTTTTAACCACAGGAGCCACAACTGTAACTTGTCAAGTTTAACATTTATTATTTCATTCTCTCCCAGGTAGAGCCAGAGAGGATTCTTTATTTTAAGTTAATGATTACCCTGGCCAGGCAGCTGTTATTGGCTCTGGGCCAGTATTAGCAGCCAAGTCTGATATAAGAATACCCCAGAGCAGGGAGAGAGGTTTTTATGTGAATTGAGTATGTAGCCTCAAGGCCCAAAGTTTATTCCTCTAGCAGTTTTTTGTTTGTTTTTAAAGGTTACAAAGATCCAGGAAACCTATGACTGAGGCAGGGAGGGAATTCATCACAAAGTGACAAAGACCCAAAAGAACTGGCATCTCTTACAACCACTCCTTAGAAACCAGTTCAGTGCAGACGGGGTCCCACAGCCCAAGGTGAGGGAGGTGGAGAAAGGCACTGGGGAGTCTAAAAGTAACAACTGCTGGAACCACCGTGGCTATGGATCAAGATTTCAATTTTAACATGCTTGTTGCTGTTCAAACTACAGAACTTTATTCAAGCTCTTTCTGATTGAAAACATTTAAACTGACTGCAATGATGGGTTTTCTTTGTTAGAAGTAGTAGGTGCCCATGCCCACTGCTCCCTTTTGGAACCCCCAATACATCACTGTTAACCACGTGGTCACTATAGCCTGAGGCTCTTTAGCCACTAACATGGCTTGTTAGCCACTAACACTTTATAGATCATGCAGCTGCCCAGCTGAATATGCCAAATGGTCCAGTTTGCACTTGTCTTCGGTTAATTTCAAGCAAACTGCAATAAGTATGTTATGACTTAGGGTTGGGGAAGATTTAAAAATGTACTGTATGAGAACACTGTTAGAATTATTTGTTTGCCTGGAAGTTATGCCTATACCAAGTGCTACGGGTGAAAGAATGAATTAACTCTGAAGTGTTCAGGTTCAGCCTTGAGTAGGCGCAAGAACCCAGTTTAGTCTCAAACTCCCACTCTAAAGTTCTGACTAATCACAATCCACTCTTCAAAGCAGCACTGACCAGTAGGAGTTTCTACAACGACAGCACCTATTTCTACAATGACAGAACCTTCTGTGTCTGCTCCGTCCAATTCGTGTGTGTAGCTAATGGTACTATATTGAGAAGTGCTGTTCCAGAGAAACAGCTCTGGCAAAATTCACTAAGGACATTTTCACCCCCTACTTGAGTAGACAATTTCAGTCTTCATTTGACTAGGATTCTCTACAGTATTTGACTCCACGGACCATTTAATCTTTGAAAATCTCTCTTTTCTGGGTGTCAATGATACCATGGTTTCAGGGCTCTCTTCCCATCTTTCTTTCCTTCTCACTCTTCCTCTTGGGTTCTTCCCTCCCTGCCTCTACCATTAGGATTTTCTAGGGCTCAGTCCTTAGTCCTTTTCTCTTCCCTAGGACTCTCCTATGCAGTGCCATCCATTTCGAACATTTACTGAACGCTCATGATGTAGGCATCATTCTAAGCATTTTATATGCATCATCTGACTTAATGATCACTACTTGCACAAAATGTAGATACTATCATTATCCTCATTTTACGGATGAGAAACAGAAGCTTAGATAATGCAAGTAGCTTGGCCAAGGTTATAGCTAATCATGGTGAAGCTCAGATTCAAACTCAGATAATTGACTTCCTATCAAGCTGAGGACCCTGGCTTCTGTAGCTACAGCGAAGACCACATTTCTCTCACTGCTTACTTCTACCTGGGTGTCTTAAAGGCATTTCAAATTCATTATGTCTAAAAGCATAAACTCTATCTTCCTACCTAGACTTGCTTCTCCTACACTAGTTCCTGTTCTGGTAAGCACCATCCACCAATCCAGAAACACCCACCAATCCTGGGAGTCATCCTATCTGCCACCTGTCCCTCACTCCAAATCTAACTGATGCCTCTTTAATTCACTAGCTCTTCTCCATCCCTCATGTCAGTGCCTTGATGTGGGCCTTTTCATACCATACCTGGACTCCTGTAATAGTCTCCTAACAGGTCTTCCAGCTATGGTTCCTGCTCCCACCCAGTTGCCTTTCTAAAATGAAAATCTGTCCCTGGTATGAAAGATTGTCGAAGACTTTTCCATGAGCTCCCCATACAAAGATTTCATGGCATGATCCCTGACTCCTCATTTCTTTATGTTCTCCACATCGCACTCTATGTCAGTCATACAAAATAATCTGTACTTGCTATTCCTTTCATCTAAAATGCTCTTAGCTTCTTTTTCTATGAAATTCTTACTCCTCTTCTAAGACTTAGCTAAATTCTCTCCAGGAAGCCTTTCCTCACCTTCCCAGGGAGAGCTAACCCTTCCTTCCTTGGTGTCTTCGATGCCTCCCATTCAAACCTCTACTATAGCCCTTATCACACCACTCAGCATTTATTTAGATATGTGTACCCCTTATCTACCTACTAGGAACCCCTTGAAAGAAGAGACTGGCCCTTGTTCAATCTTGAATCCTTGGTACCTACTCTGTGCCTAGGACCCAGTGAGGCACTGAACTGAAAACAGAATGATGCTTTTGGCTTATCCAGACCTTGAAGCAGTGCAACACAATCCCACTGCTTGTAACAGAGTTGTGCTTAGTCTTGGGAACAGACTTTGTAGACCAAAAAAATCAACCCACCACTGGACCACTCTTGATCTCCCCTCACAGGCAACTTTTACTAGAGGCAATTCCAGTAACGGAGATGAGAATGACTGTGACACCATGCCCCCACCTGATAGTGACGATCTGCCCAATGCTCAAGTCCATGTCATTCAACTGTGCAATGAACACAGCTGCTACTGCTTCGTAGAGTGCAGTCCCGTCCATGTTGATTGTAGCACCAACGGGTAACACAAATCTAGTGATCCTTTTGTCCACGTGGTTCTTTTCTTCAGCACAGCGGAAAGTGACAGGCAGGGTTGCTGAACTGTGTGATAAAAAGACAAATGCGTTACGGTTTAGAAATGCTGGTTCTCAGTCCCTGCCTGAAGAAGAGACACCTCCATTCCAAAAACTAACCAGGTATGCTGGCACCTTTGACAGGTTCAGGAATCAGAAGGTGCTATGGTTGCCACTGTTCCAAGTTACAACATAATCCCTTCGTGGGCTGTAGGCTGTGCCAAGAGGGCCAGAAACATCCCCCAGGGTGAAGAACTACATTCAAGGACATGGGTAGAGACTATGGGGATCATTTCTTTCTTTCTTTCTTTCTTTTTAAAATTGATCTCAGAGAGAGAGGGAGAGAAGCCAATTGGTTGCTTCCCGCATGCACTCCAACTGGTGATCGAACCCACCACCTAGTTATATGCCCTGACTGGGAATTGAACCACCACCTTTTGATGAATGGACCCATACTCCAACCAACTGAGCCACACTGGCTGGGGCAATCATTTCTTGAATTAAAGGCAACTACAAAAACTATAAGCTGCAGATACTGCTTCATCAAGTGAGGCGAGGGTTGATAAAAGCTTGGTTCAGAGACTTCCTCTAGACACCCCTCTTCGATTTACCTGGAAGAGATCATGAGAGCTGTCAGGAGAGCCTGGGCCATCCCCATGGCAAACCGGAAAGGGTTCTTTCTTACCACAATGAAATATATCAGTGGAAGAATTACAATGGAGTGGATTGCAAGCCTGTAGATGAGAAAGGAACAGGTTCATGGATGATACCACCTCTTCATATTAATCCTTTTTTCAAACAGCTTTTTTCATGTCATTCAACTTTCATATTGATCTAATGAGAAAATGAGAAGTAGGGCAGGAATATGTCTCCAGTCCACATATGAGGATGAGGAGATTCATTCAGCAAATGAAGTATCTTATCAAAGTTACTGGCAAAGCCAGTAGCTGAATGCACATTCTAGGGCTCACAGAACAATTACATCATGCTTCCAAGCCCTGATCGTGCTGTTCCTGCTAAATGTGCTAAAATCTTTCACTTCCTTCTGTTGCTGAATTCTTACTCCTCCTCTAAGACTCAGTAAGACTTCCCTCTCCTTCAGGAAGCCTTCCCTCAACTTCCCAGCTCCTGCTGACCCCTCCCTCCTTGGTGCCTCTGTCGACCCCTCTATTATAGCCCTTCACAGTCTCAGCCACTCTGCTCCCTGGGCCTCATCGCTGTTTTGTTGGATGGCACCCACTGTCTAAGAGGGAAGTGAGGATTGCAATGAGGAGGAGGAAGCCCTTGCTCTTCCATTTTCATACTTTGGACCGACTCTCTTTGTCATTCCTGTCTTCCAAAACTATTCCTTGTTCCACATGGAAATATATGGGTTACACAAAACAGGGGGCTTCAGAAAGGAGACTGATTCAGTGGATGCCATATATGTGGCAGTGTAGAGTTTAAAGATATGTGAAGCTGAAATAGTAAGAAGTGGTCATTGAAAATACAGCTCCCAGGGGTGTGGAAAGAGGGTCTCCTGGATAGAGAGCTTGTGGCTAAGAACTCTGAGGAACTGACTTCGTTTACTCTTAGGAACCTAGCTAGGATAAGAGAACAGAAGCCAGCAGAACCCCGTTATGAAGTGGCTCAGCATAATACACCGCAGCCCCTTCACTGCCTGGACGCAGCCTCTGGCCTCTTTGAACCGGGCCAAAGAGGTCCTGCCTCCCTTTGCACTGGGCCCTGGGATTTGACTGACCCTCACACTGTAGGAATCCAGGCTGCTTCTCTGTTGGCCATCAGGGCTATGCTCTTGGTAAACACAGATTAAGTACTAAATGCTATGCAGTGGAAATAGGTGAGCTGATTGCTTAAGTGGGTGTTTGGGGGCATTGATCAGTGGGAGTCAAATTGATGATGTTTACTCATTCCTATGGCCCATATTTCAAGGCACATGTGATGTATCCCACCCCCGGCTGATATCTGGGAGCACCATTTATCACCTATTCCCCTCAAGGAACCAATAACTGGACTAATAAGTATGCAAATGACCTGTCTCCTGCTGCCTTCCTGCTTTACACAATTCCTTCTAGCATGAAGATTTCCCCTGCACCCTGTCTGGCCCTGTGAGGATGCAGGGGGTGACAGTGGTCACCAGCCCCACCAACAGGGTCCTGGAACCGACCAGCCATCCTGCTCCTACTTGCTCGAGTCTGATTTTATTTAGGCACTGCCTAATTTCTTTCAGGCCCAGGGTACATGGGGTTATTTTTATTTGCTTGGTTAGTTTATATCCCTGAGGAAGTGAAGACCAGGAGACAGCCAAGATTGGCTGCCAGTGGGTTTTAAAAAACTATTTGAATACAACTAACAAAGGCAGTGACAAAGCCTGGTCCAGGCTGTTCTGCCAAGATCTGGCACTGAGCACAGTGCAATCCACCTCCAGTACAGCTGTTAAAGGGCACCCCTCCCCACCTCCAACCGGCTCTCTTATCGCTGAACCCCATTTCCCCCTGCACATAGGAGAGAAGCCAATGTTAATCCTCTGAAACCCAGACTCTCATGAGCTCAAGTGAGGTTTCTTCTCTTGGGTCTGACATACCCAGTCAGGACAGTGGCCATGTAAAGGCCCAGCTTGCGGAATATGTCCCAGTCTTCAACTTCTATGATCTTTCCGGCAATCAGGAATAAAATGCCGATTGGCATGTAACTAGGAAGTAAGCACAACAAAGTCAGCAGGTGTTTTCTCAGGGTGGGATTTTTGGGGAAGAAACAAGCCTCAGCTTTGCACCCGCCCTCAGCTGGGAGGAGCACAGGGTGCACAATGAAGTGAAGGTCTCAGTTTCATCTCAGTTCCAGGCTGTGGGGGACTACACTGGCTTCAGGTTTCAACATCTGTGTGTACCTTAAATTCTACCCACCTAAGCTACCGTAATGGGACACACTTGGCAAGAAGGTATGGTTATTGAATACCTGAAACCTATATAATTTTATTAACCAATGCACCCCAATACATAAAATAAGTACATAAAAAGGTGTGATTAAACTACTGCATATCCCATTTCTTGTTCCCAGTACATATGCATTCTACCGATTGCTACCTCCGAGATCTCATTTTAGCTTGATCCTGCAAATAAGGTCACTAGGCTCTTTCTAACCATGGTCACCTTGTTTCCCAGGTTGTAGTATCAGCAAAGAGCAATAGGGTTAGTAGTGGGAGTGGTCATAATAGCTGTTGTGGAGCTCTCATGACAGGTCTTGTGTTGGCTTAAGTATTTTACATGCATCAATTCAGTTAGTGTGCTTCTCCCAATCCTAGTGGGAGATTTTATTATCCTTTTTTATAGATAATTAAGCTGAGGTGCAATGGGATTAAGTGACTGAAATAACTGAACCTTTTACATCACTGTCAATGTCTATAATTTGGATTAAATAATGTTAAATCAACTCAATATGAGATAAGTGGGACAGAGGTCTCTGAGGAAAGGTGGACTTTTCGGCATCTCTGAGACAAGTCAGGTACTCAAGCAGCTTTCGTTTGGATGGGTTAGTGCTCGTGCTGTACCTGTTTTAAGTATCTGGAATATCACTTCTGCATGGGGCCTACTAAGGAAAGCACTTTGTGTTTTGATGTGCAGGGAACCCCTTCAAGTCATGCTTTTAAGAGCTACCTCTTACATGAATGCTAGTTGGGTACAAGATGATCAAGGGCTTTGGCAGTAAACACAATGGCTAATATCTAGATTCTTGTTAGTGGACAAAAAGTAACATGTGGAGTGATTCAGTACTCTTGTTAGTGTCTTAATATTCAGGGTTCCCCTTTCTAAGGTGAGTCAGTTGAGACACATAAGACTTTTGGTTCTAATTCTGAGGGGACAGTTCTAATTCAGGGGAAGCAAGATGGCATTAATGAGCGTTAGCTCACCACATAATGATCTGAATGATTTTCATGGTTGCATCGGTCAGAGCATTGAAGAAATCCACCAGAACCTGTCCCTTTTCTCCCATTTTTCCAATGACAAGTCCAAAGACAAGGCAAAAGACAATCAAGCCGAGGACATTGATGCCATCTGAATACATGCCTACGACTTTGTATTCCTTTGTTTCATTCTGTGAATCAAAACCAAGAAAATATATTGGTGCATGGTTATAATCTTGTTAGACTGCATAGGCATTGAAATGAGAAGATACAATAGGCAAACATAATAAACCAGTGATCTACCAGTCAGAGTCAACAATACTTTGGGAAATATAACTAAAAATACAAAAAAGAGAACCCATCTATACATATATCACATTTTTTACTGCCCCCACCTTTAGCCATTGAAGTTTAAAGTGTTTTTTCTCCTCTATCTCTCAACAAATCCATATCTGAATATTTCTTTTGAAGATTTCTTATTATGGGATGTTTTACATTTTTTATTTTATTTTTTAAAATTCTTCATTGTTTAAAGTATTATATATGTCTCCTTTCCCCCCATTGTATTTTACATTTTTTGTAAGAACTTCAGAATCAAGGCACTTGCAGGGTTATTTTAACTACTCACTATATTTGGAGGCTATATAAAAAGAATAGGAACTAGTAATGCAGGAAACAGAAAATATTGACCAGTGTGGACATTTTTAGGGCATTTTACTGGTTTATCCTGATAATGAAGCATGAGAACATTCTTGCCCTGGCTGGTGTGGCTCAGTTCGTTAAGCATCGTTCCATGCACCAAAAGGTCACTGGTTCGATTCCTGCTCAGGGCACATGCCCAGGTTATGGGCTGGATCCCCAGTAGGGGGATGCAGGAGGCAGCCAATAGATATTTCTCTCACATAGATGTTTTTCTCTCCCTCTCCCTTCCTCTCTAACATAAATAAAAACATATTTAAAAAAAGAACATTCTTTACTGCCTCTAATTTTGAATGACCAATAGGATTTTGGAGATATAAAAGTTAACCAGCCCGACCAGCATGGCTCAGTGGTTGAGCATCGACCTATGAACCAGGTGGTCATGGTTTGATTCCCAGTCAGGGCACATGCTGGGGGTATATAGGAGGCAGCTGATGAATGATTCTCTCTCATTAATGTTTCTCTCTCAAACCAATAAATATATATATTTTTTAAAAAGTTAACCAGGTTCCTACTATTAGGAACCATTTGTTTGCTTTATCCTGTGTAAGAATAGCATGAGATTTACTGAGAGATTTCATAAGGACATAACATAAATGGACAAGCCCCTGGGGCACCAGTTATTTCTCAATTATGATGTGATTTAATCAAACACATATTTACCAAGCAGCTGGAGTGTGCCAACTGCAGTGGCTACAGCATAAGGTCATCAATAAAAGGGGAAAGATATATTCATTCTGAAGAGAAACACAGTGAGATGGTGTGTAATTAACTGCACAGCCAAGCTATGAGTTATAGGCATCCTATGGAACCTGGGGACATGGATGAGGGCTGTGAGGTTACCATTAAGAAATGATAAGCCAAGGCAAAAGTCATCCTGTATCCTGCTTGGAGAATTCCTACCCATGTTTTATGGCTCCCCAACGAATTTAAGCCATCCTGTTGGATGCCCCGGAGTACCCTGTTCTTCCCTATTGTAATACTCATCACTCTTCATACGAGGGCAGATGCCACATCTGTCTTTTCACTATTGCAATCCAATGTTCGGCAGGGCCTGGCTCAGGGAGGGTGATCAGAAAATGCTTGTGGAACCACATCAAAGGCAGGAATAAGGAGTAATGAAGGAGGCTGATCAGGATAGGATAGAAGGGGCCCACTGGGAACTGAGCCCAGAAACTAGGAAGGAGCCGGGAGTGCTGGACCTGTCAGAGGGGTTAACTGGGGAGTGAAGGCTTTCTGCAGGTGGAAGCAGGGAGACAATGGTGGCCTAGTTAATCTGAATTCTTAAGTCTACCGAACATTTATCTTTTCCTTAAATTTTCCCTTCCCGTGTGAAGGCAGAGAACATTCAGGAAAAAATCTACAGGACTAAAAAAATGTATTACTTCAGGTCCATACATTCTAAGCCTTCAATAGGGAAATCCCCAAAGCTCTCAAAGCCCATTGATTTTAACTATGAGTTCATGGCAAACTCTAGGTGGCAAAACCTAACCCGAACTGAAATGAGGCCACGTATGGTCTATTTCTTGTAATTTGGCAGAATATTCATAAATTCGGTGCAAGAATATTGATGTGCTTGATTCTAGAGCAGTGGTTCTCAACCTTGGCTGCACATTAGAATCACCTGGGAATCTTTTTAAAATCCTGAAATTCTGTTTCCATGTTACTAATGTTGTGGCCCCACCCCATAACAAAGAAACAGAATTTCCGGAGGATGAGGCCCAGAAATCAGGATTTTAAAAAGATTTCCAGGTGATTCTAATGTGCAGCCAAGGTTGAGAACCACTGTTCTAGAGTGTTGTTGCCAATCCTACTTCAGGGAAGTGTTTAACGTGTACACTCACCGCCTGGCCCATCTAACGTGGAAAACTATGGATCTGCATCACATCTGGGCAGAGAGTTTCAAGAAAGAAATTGTGGGCCTGCATTCTGCGTTTACATAGTCGTGCAAACCTAGAGCAGTTCCCAGAGGTGCGCACCTCAGCTCTAAGGAGTGGCGGAGATACAGAGGCAACAGGGCTCTCTCTCCTCCATGTGGTTCAATGGCTGCTCATTATTCTTGGTAGTTAGGTTCTATGAAGTGGTCACCAACACTGAATTAGCGAATACTAATGCATTGTTTCTTGGGAAAATGTATGAGTAAGTTCTTGGGAATCAATGTTCACAACATTTTTGTCAAATCATCCACACATGACCTACTTTATACATGTTTCTGTTCAGAGACGACCTTATTTCTATATATACTGTTGATTCATTAACACTGAATTCACAACCCACACACTAGAACTCATGCCTGAATGAAGTGTATCTAACATACTGTATTCTCTGGAAGGCACATTGGAGCCCTCTTCATTTAGGAACCATAGACAGCACTTCAGCACTACGGTTGGGGGATATTTTAAACAGTGAAATTACCACGAAAAGTACAAAACTGAAAATGTGGCATAAGCGCACCACGAAAAGACACGTGTTAATAGCATGAGAGCTGAAACAAGAAGGCAGAGCATAGCTGTGTTCAGCATCTGCTGGGAACACATGTGCATTGGGCAACTTAAATTTTTCACCGCTCCATGCACGTCTGCGAATGACACGAAAACGCCTGAGTGTTGGTTTTTGAGGTTGCAAATACATTTTAGCAAGTAGGTGAATTCACAAAGTGTGGAATACATGAATAATGAGGATGGACTGTACTTCCATCTCCTGCTCACTCACAACTCAGGCCCTGTCTACTGGGGAGGGGGCGTGGGTGACAAGGAAGGAAGCAGTACCTTGGCAACAGCAGTTGTCATGACGGCTGTGACAGATGCTCCCGTCATATTCATCCCTGGCTCACTGGGAGGACTCACTTCTTTTCGCGTGGTTTTATACTGCACGTTAGAAGAAAAAAACCCAAGAAACAAATGAAGAAAGTTTTTTAAGCACCTGAGGCTAAATCACAGGAATACAGTTACTTTGGCAAACAAATACCACTGAAAGGTTCTACCTCCGATGCCTCTGTTGGCTCCAGGTGTTGATAGAACCTCTTATGAGGCTTTGGAACCAAAAGCAGAATTGAGAAATCCAACCCAAGGCGCCCACAGCCACCATTCAATGATGTCAAAGTGTTCTCTCACTTTTATAAGAAAGGACAAATTAATGGAGCAACAAAGTGAATGAAATTATTGGTGTTATCTGTAGGTGCTTTGACAGACTCAGGAATCCTGTGCATCATTTTTTTATCCTATTTATTATTTATAACCTGGGAGAAACCTCACCACTTTGATAAATGCAGTCGCTATGACTTTAATAAACATCAACAACTATATGATTGTTCCCAAATCAACAGTCGTTTTAGGGCTACTCCATGAGATTTCTGTTGACTCCTCCTCCTTCAGCCCCGTCTGGTTCTGTGGAGCTTCAACAGAGAGGTTGAAGAAAGAGCTAGTATGCCCTCACACCAGGTCAGCTTACAGGCTCTGCCAACACCGAGAACCTCACAAGCGACCACTGTGGCTGAAGCGCAAAGGCACCCCTGAAATAGAGGTGGTTCTGTGCTGCTTGGAGGTCGGCAGCGAGCAGTTTAATTGCTGCTCCTGCTGGTATACACAGAGGTCTCTGTGCATATAATTTATGTAAATCAATTCAGCACTTTGCGATAGACTCAGCTGTCTAAGTGCATAGAAAAACGAGAGAAAAAGACGTGAAGAAAATGGAGTGGAGAGATTTTTAAACTTTCCTAGAGAAAAAAAAAATCATGGCGTTGTTATATTGTGCCTTAAGAGTGTCAGCAATGGGGACAGAATGATTAAGAAAAAGACCAAATACCAGGAACACCAGCCACCTTGTGGGTCAGACACTGATCTGCCCACAGGAGTGAAAGAGGAGATGGAGGCCACTTTTCCCACTGCACGGCATCTCCCCACAGTCTAAGTCTATTCACAAATACAGTACAATGTGGTTCTACAAAAACAGGTATGAGAAGCCATGTTCTAAAACATTCATTGGCAGAGTAGACGGGGTCAATGGTGGAAAAAAGGGGACATCTATAATACTTTCAACAATAAAGAGAAAATTTTAAAAAAGAAAAGAAAACATTCATTGTTTGACATTTTTTTCTGATTTGCTCCGTTTGAGCCCCTTTTTTGTGGGGGTGGGGAGAACATACAGGAAATGGGAGCGGAATAAGCTACAATAGGCACTTACTTCACTGTGACCGAAAGACCAGGGATACAGTACAGAGGAGGCACCTGAAATTCCTCCATTCCCAGGTACATCTCCTGCCATTTTTGATGGGCTAATTCCATTTGTTGGGTTATGGCAGGAAAAAAAAATTAATTGGTAGTGGGAAGAGGGGAGCAATGTGGGCAAAAGTCAATATTATTACCTGCTGAAAACAGGCTTGGACAAGGTTCTCAGGGAACATATTCCTGTTGGAGACATGAAAAGCAGTATTAAGGTAAGGCAGAAGTGTTTTGTTTTGTTTGTCATACCCAGTACATAGGTGGAAAAGAGTGTAACATAGAATCAGTCCTCTGGTTTCTCTTCTGGCTTCTTTACATAATACTTACTTGTAGTAAGATTTATTCTTCCCTGCTAAGCTTCAACCAAGAATAGGAAGCTCTCCTAACTGACCGTTCCTTAACTGACTCACTGAGGAGCCGATACACATGCTGTCCTGGGGGAAACACCACACTGGCAGGTGGACACTCGCAGTTAAGAGACGACTTTAATATTCTGCACATTTCTGTTTTCACCCATGAGAATGTATAGCTTACCAAGAGTCCACTGCATTTCTCCCCAAATTCTTGATGCCAACTGCAAATATCATTGTCGTTACTGAATTAAAAATTATGTAAATCAAGGAAATACGAGTGTGAGAAGGAAGGTATGATTTCTATAAAAACTAAGCAGAGTGCCTAGAAACTCAATCAAGCCAAGTGACTAAAACTTCTGCAGTTAAATTAGGTATGGGAAGGCAACTAGAATCAAAAGGGAAACTGGAAGGATTCGGCACTCCACTTTCTTTGCAAGTCTAAGGGTTTTTGTTTGTTCCGCTTCACAGAAACTGAGTCTGGAAATTCTAGACGATGCATTTCTGTTGCATCCTGCAGCGTATGCAACAGAAATGGTAGGAAATTACAATCAACTGACACTCGAAGAAAAGACCTGGACCCTACATAAAAAACTTGGCAAATAAACACGTTTAAGTTTTAACTGTACACAAAATATGTAATGCATATCTATCATTTTTTAATGATTCTCTTCTTTAATTGCTATTTATTAACTAACCAATTTCCAGCCCTAACTGCTTCAGATTAAGAGGGTTTTTTCCTGTACAATTAAAAAAATGTATTTCTTCAAATGTGCTTCAGACTGACTACCCAGCATCCTACTGCAACAAGCATACTTTCTGCATCTCTGTCCATCCTAAGTCCTGCCAGAGGAGCTCATTCCTTCCATGCCCTTTTGGAGCCATGACTCCGCAAGCAGCACTGGCTATGTAATTTGCAGGGCCCAGGGAAAAATGAAAATGCACAATTTTAAAATTATTAAAAATTTCAAGATGGCAATAGCAGATCATTATAGTAAGCCTGGGGCCCTGTGTGACCACACAGGCCGAATGCTAATGAAGCCATTCTGCTGGCAAGACACTCACCTGATCAAGTCTAACATGGCATCGACAGTACTGACTTCAGGGCTGCTGCCTCTCCTGTCAATTTCACCCACTTTCTGGCTGACACCAGGCTTGATGGTCACCACCAGCACGATACCTGTGGCCAAGGAGAGCATCCACAGAGCAGTGAGACCCTTCCAGGGCACCCAGCACCCCCAGTACATCCTTCTTGGACCCTCTGGACATGGTGGAACCCCGGGGTCCAGCCAAAATGCTGAATCTCAGCTGCGACTTCAGCAGCAGCCTTAATTACTATTCCATTTAAATGAAGCAGAAAGAACTTTTCCCATGTCTTTTTTTAAAACGAAGGGGCTACCCCTTCTCTTCGTCCATCCTCTCTCTCTCTCTCTCAAAAAAAAAAAAAAAAAAAAAAAAATCAATGGAAAAAATATCCTTGGGTGAGGATTTAAAAACATAATAATAAAAAAAGAGAATAAAAATGAAGGGGCTATATTCCAGAATTGCTTCTGGAAACACCTGCTGACAAGAATGTTCTTTTTTCTTTTTTTAAAAAAAAATATATTTTATTGATTTTTTTTACAAGAGAGGAAGGGAGAGGGATAGAGTTAGAAATATCGATCAGCTGCCTCCTGCACAGTCCCTACTGGGGATGTGCCCACAACCAAGGTACATGCCCTTGGCCGGAATCGAACCTGGGACCCTTGAGTCCACAGGCCGACGCTCTCTCTATCCACTGAGCCAAACCGGTGAGGGCTATTCTTTTTTCTTTATTTTAGCTTATGAGGTCAACCTAGGCAGGGCATCCTTAAAATATCAAGCTAGATCATAATGGACGGACCATATTTTCTTCACAAAAGAATGCCAAAGGTACAAGAGCAGCTCTATTCCCTTAGAACGTTCTCCTTCTTTCAAGTGGAATTTATACTTGGCAAGACTCAGCCATTAGCTCTCACTACTATGTGAAGTTTGAAATGCACTCAACTGCTATCTTTCCAGAAATCTTTTATAGTTATACTCAACTCCACTACTATAGACTCATTGCTCTAAAGATTGTATAAGCTCTTGGCTCCACTTCTACCCAATGATCTTGGAGACGTATAGAGCTGCCACCCTCTTTCTGTTCTTACTAGAGACTTTAATAAAGAATATCATAGCTGAAATTCAGTCACTATTACATTTTCTTCACATAAAAGGTGCATGTAGATTTCAAGCCAAAAAGCTTCATGGTAGTGTAACAATACTGCTTTCTAATTTTCTAAAAAATGCACATTATAAAAAGCCCAACCACCTTTTAAGTGAAAAGTCACAATTATACAGAGGAATAAGAATTCAGCGATAAATTTTACCTAGAATGACAGCAATGAGAGTGGTGCAGAAATAATATGCAACAGCACGTAGCCCAATTTTTCCAGATACGTTGGAATCCAATGCAGCGACACCTGAAAGGGAGGAGAAGTCAAATTACATTACTTTTAGAAAGACTGATTTACAGGACTAGTGATGAGTCAATCCTTAAGGTGTGAAAGAGCTGAGAGCTGTCGCTGGATCTCTTGGGCATGTCGCACACATTTGGACAATATGTGAAGGGTGAAAAAAGCAAAATTCCAAACACAGAATTAAGAGATGGGAGCCTACTGAGAGCCAAGTTCCCCTTCTTGGCAAGCCCTCACTGCCGCTGCCCATTGTGAGCGTCCTGCCTTGGGCTCCTCTTGGGGTGTGGTCATGAGACACAGTCAGAAGGAGTCCTCCTTCTGCATTTGCTTGCTGTGTGGGTGGGGGAAAGGTGGGAGAGGACATAAAGGGGATACATGATGATGGAAAAAATAAAATAAAAAATTTAAATATATGAAAAAGAAGACCGTTATCAAGATTTGTGTACTATGTCACTCAACATCCTTTTGGAATTCAGTATCAAGGAAGAGTTTATTTTAAAGAACTGAGATAATTCTTTCCTCATGTAATGAAAATCAAATAACCCCTTCGTCCTTTTGTTAGGAAGCTCAGAGTCAACTAAAAGATAACTTTTACATATGTGTTCATGATAATTATCTGATTAAAAAAGAGAAAAATATAAAGAAAACAAAAATGACTTCAGCTCATCAGCCATAGTCAAAATTCTGTTGATTTATCTTCCAATATGTTTTCCTCAATTTTTTGTAAACATAGCTGAGATAATTTTATAGCTTTTAATCCTCTCTCTTCCTAATACTGTATTATAAACATTTTTCCTTATTATTATAAATTCACCCTGAAGAAGGCTACATAATTTGTCATGGGGCTGTACCATAGGTATTTAATCATCCACTCACTGCTAGATCTTTAAGTAGTCTCAGGGCCAAAGTCAGTAATAAATCACAGTAATTTCACTTACCATTCTGGCTAGCATATTTTTTCTTCTTTTATTGATTTTCAAATTGCTTCTATGTTAATTTTATTGTGTGTGCCTTTGATTGTGACACACCTAAAAATTCCCATTTTATTTTATTTTTAAATTGTTTTTATTGATTTTCAGAGAGAGAGAGATGAAGGGAAAGGGAGAGAGAGAAACATCGATGAGAGAAACATGGATGGGCTGCCTCTTGCATACCCCCTATTGGGGATCGAGCCCATAACCTGGGCATGTGCCCTGACCAGGAATCAAATTGGCAACCTCTCTCTGCAGGGGTCAATGTTCAACCAACTGAGCCATATCTGCCAGGGCTAACAAAGATTCCATTTTTATAGAGGCAGGATATAAATAAAAATTTCTAAAAGCATAGGAAGATATATGGCCTTGTTGTTAGATGCAGTTTCAAATGAACTTTGACTGCCAATAAAACTCTTGAATGTCGCCTGGATTTGCACGGGTTGTCTAGAGTGCCAAGGATGGCTGCAGAGGTGGAAGGCATACACCTTTCCTCACCAGAAGGCCTTGCCCTCCATCAAGGATGCTCATATAAATGGAGTCAATGACGCAGCTCTCTAACCAGACCCCTCCCATGTGGGATACATGAGAAACAACCAAACCATCTTTCAGCAAGTTGTCATTTGGGGGTTTCAAACTACCCCCCTGATTTCCAAAAAGAGAATCACATTTTGATCACCAAGAAAATGATTTCTTGAGCTTGCAACATGCGTGAGTTGTGTCATACTGTTTGCAAAACCTGAAGTACAGGGCAGCAGGAAAATGAAGAGGTTGTCATGAAGCAACCCCAGAGAAAAGGTAGTAAACATGTAGGCTATCAGTACACACAGGTAGCTTTTATATTCACTCCTCACACTATAAAAGGCCTGTCTGTTTTTTTATGTGACTGGAGGATTATGTTCCTCACATATAATTGAACATATTTGATATAGGAAAAATCTCTAAGGAAGCTATCACCTCTCACTCTAAACACATCATTCCTCTGACTGTTGATTGCTCCTTTGGAAGTTAACATTTTGGGGGAAGGGGCTTTGACTTCTTTAACAGCCACCCCAGAATGTTGTTAAGGGCCCATTCTCCAACATCTGGGACAAGGTTGTGCAATTACTATACATATACATATGGTGGAATACTGCAACAGTCACATCCTGGAATAACCATGATCATCTTTTTCGCTTTCTTTGGGAAAAATGCAGTTGGGTGTGCTCAGAAGACTTTCTTGTCCTAATGGCAAGACAATGAAAAATAATTCTGCAAGAAACAACAACAAAATTAAGAGACTTAAGGCCACAATTCAGAAAAAAGTGGACTATTTCATATTTAGTTTTGGTCTCTTAAAAAGAGAGGAAACAATAATGCAAACATATCAGTTTGTTAAGTATATAACTACAAAATGTGCCTATCCCATTTTAGAGCTCTGCATATTATTCTGATAAACAAAACAATTAAGTATAACAATAAGCTATGTTAAAAAGACAAGAAAATCATCAGATTAACAGAACTGAGTCACCTGTATAAGTGCCTGTAGCCCTGACCTAAGAGACCTATTTTCAGATATATTGGCCCTTGATTGATGTCCAATTTAAGCAGCTCGCAGCCCCCAAGGTGCTGATAAGTGATAGGCTCATGGGGTAGTTGCAGAACTATTCTTGGGTATGTGTTTCACGTCTCCTCAGGATTTCCTTCTAGCAGTGAAACAAATTAAATCTATGTGGGTAACTGTTCCCAGCATATGTTAATATTGTATGTCTTCATTTGTCTTAATGATGAGGCCGAGGGCTGGTGCCTCTGCTTCTATTCTAGGACCCAGCCGCCAATAAAAGGCTTCGTACTAATGAGATTCTCAGTGGAAATATCTTAAACAAATACATGCCCAAAGAAGGCAGCCAGCTTCTTCCTGCTGGAGTACAGCAACTATCTTGTAGTTATTTGCAGGAAGAGCTTTGTTTTCCATTCCTCAAATTTACCCTAGTCCTACAATTCTTCTGGACATATCAGAAATGTATTAAAATCAACAACCGTACTTCTCTGCCTCTCTCTGGAGTTGCCCTCTACCTCCCAGTCATCACTGACTGAGGGCAGAGCTGCCCCCAAATCCAGGCTTTTGGACAATTTATAATGTGGTGTTGAGAATCGGGGCAGTGACCACTGGAGAGGGAAGGATCACAGGTAGGGAAACAGCCTAATCTTTGAAAACCTCTATAATAGGAACATTACTAAAGTTAACTTGAATATAAAATGCCTGTCTGCATGGTCTAAACACCCCACCTGCCAAAAACAACAACAACGATGATGATAATTATACACAATGATGACAATAAGGATGACAAGAGACACTGTGTACTGAGCAATGACTCAATGTTGAGTGCATCACCTTTAATTCTCACTACAACCCTATGAGATTAGGCATCATTCCCCCCATTTTATAGAGGAGAAGTCGGTGGTTCAGAAAGGCTAAGTAACATGTCGTGGTCCTATGGCTGGTGAATGATGAAGCCAGGAACCCGAATCCAAGTTTGACCCCAAAGGCCATATTCTTAACCACTATGTCATACTGGCTCTACCAACATGCTACAGAGTTCTAGACCAGGGCTGCCCAATAGAATTTCCTGCGATGATGGAAATATTCTCTGTTTGTGCTGTCTACTGCAGTAGTCACAAGCCACATGTGGCTAGTAAACACCTGAAATGTGGCTAGTGTGAGTGAGGAACTGAATTTTGATTTTAATTAACCTCAATTTAAACAGCCATATGTGGGTAATGACTACCATACTGGACAGCATAATCTCTAGACCTTCCCAGAGTGTCCAACATTTAGTGGATGCTCAACAATGTTGAATGAACAAACTCAAGCTTGACTCCATTACAAAGACACCCTCTCCACCTTGCCAGCACAGGGGCAGGGGAGAGGATGAAGGGAAACCATCATCTCCAGGTATGCATTTCCTTCACCACCCTGGCCACACTGCTCCAAGGCCTGAGGCTTCTTCTTCACCGGTCCCAGTGCAATAAATAAATAAGGTGCTCTGTGGGTGTTGTGTTCGAAGCCTTCCACATGAAGAACAGAGCTGCACTTTTTATGGGCGGTGTTCTTACAAAGTGAGCTCATTTCAAAGATCCACACGTGTGTCAGAGATTAGGAACTTGGCAGGTAGTCTCCTTAGAAACCATGTGCACAGGGCAGTTTGGCTCGGTTTCCAGGGCGACCATCCTGATAGACCTCCATTAGAGAACACATTTAGCATCTTAGTGCCTCTCTCACATTTTTTTCATTACTGTGTACTCTACCCCACACCCCACTCACCTCCCAGCCTTTTAGACAATTTTTTCCTTATGGCAACCCCATGAAATTTTAATACCATAGACAAACTTTACATCTGTTTATGTACTAAATAAATACATGTTTTTTTTTTTTACATAAAAAGATTAAGTTTCTATCCCTTAACTCCTACCCCAAACCAGCTTTTGTTGCCTTGGGGGCGATATTGCTCCTGTTGAGAACATGGAGTCTAGCTTGAGGGATACCGTTGTGTGAATAGCACCTTAATCCAGAAGGCAGTGCCTCTTCATCAGTTCCTCTGTCAAACTAGTTACCTTCCAAGTGTTCACTAGCTACAAGTAGCTTGTGTCTACTGCAGTGGACAGCACAAGCAGAGATCATGCTGGGAAGTGCTGGTCTAAAATTTGTAGCAGGTGGATAGAGCCAGTATGACACAATGGTTAAGAATATGGCCCCCACCACTTACTGGGGAAGGTCAGTTCCAAACAAGTGAAACATCACCATGCTTTATCCTGGGGTTTTACTCTCAATAGTCGGGAACAGTTCTGCGGCTGGGCTGTGCTCTAGAAACAGGAATACAATCTAAGGTTGTCCTTGGAAGTGGGGGGCACCTGCTAGCTCTTTATTTTAAGAAACCACACTTGCTTTTTCACTTTGGGAGGAGGTTCTGATGAGCTGAGTTGCTGGCCCAAACAGTAATAATCGATTAGAACTTTTTATAAAAACACTACAAAAGAAGCAGCTGCCATGGGCTA